ACTGATCACTTACTAGTTTCATTTTGTAGAGCAGTTTCTTCTTTTTCAATTGTTACCAGTAAGTTTTCAGTAAGGTCTGATCTTTTGCCCACAATCGCAAATCCATTCCAGACATACATCATTTCCTGACAAAAAAAAAAAAAAAAAAAAAAAACCACCAAACAAAAAAAACCATAAGACAAATCATGGAATTGCATAAATATTTAACTAAAGAGAACCTCTGATAAGACTGTTCTGGAACAGAAAAACCCTATAGAAATTGTTTTAAACAGTACAAAAGGTCTACAAACAGGAGAGGAAAAATTACTTTGAATGTGTGTTGACAAAGTTAACGTGGGTTTCTAAGTTTTGAATGTTTTGATACCTTTCTAATGGATTCTACCGTCACATATTTTCACAGATCTTTAAAAATTACTGTCACCCAAGTAACACATCAGTAAAATTGTGTATTTTAAGTTTAATTCGTGGCCTTTACCATAGGAACTAAAGAAACAGCTGAAAGTAGTTATAGGTAAACTTGGTATGCATTTCAGTGTGTGCATGTATACATTTATATGCATGCACCCGAACACACACTCCTGTGTTTATATATATATATAGATGCTCTAATCTGTAGACTGTTACCTTCCATAGAGCAAAAAAAGGTGGCTCTATAAAAATCTGAAGTAGCGTTATTGACACCATCAACTACATCATGGTGGATTTGTTTCAGTTCTGCAGTCCTGTCTAATTTATGCTTACTGCAATAAACCATACACTATGCTTAGTTCTGTCAAACCCATAATGAAAAAAGTTCTTAAATTAAAAGATATTGGATTTGATGGCAAGACCAAACATATGTATACTCACAACTGCCAAGAACTGTGCTGTACAAACCCAGGACAACTTTATTACTTAGTCCTTGACATGCAATTTAGTATAGAATGTAATTTAGAACTGTTAGATAAATTTTCTTTGGACTCCTCTTTCTATATCAATGAGCTTTAATGTAAGAATCTCATCAAATTATATTTTCCATCTACAGTTGTTGGTAAATTATGCATGTACAAAGACTTTAGTATACACATATGAAAAGTATCATTGCTGTGCACATATGAACAGAACACTAATGCCTCTGAAGTGAAAATATGGAAAATTAGAAGAGCATTAGTAACGTATCTTTAACTTCTGCACATTTTACTCAGACTCAATATAAGATAAAAAAACCAAAAACCAACCATCACTCTTCATTTTCATCAGAAGAATACAAAGTACTGAAGTACTCCTTAACCTCCTAATGAGTCTAGAAGACAAGGACTTAAATCCTGCCAACTTAATAACATGAACACAGGTTTCTAACTGAAAGATGACTTCTGGCCTCATGTGGCAACAGCAACCAATTCTCTGCAAGACTGAACTTCCATGTGAAAAAACTGGCTCTGGTTTTGGACTACTATTAGTTGTAGCATGATCCAGTCTCTAGTACATTTCACAAAAATTCCATTGCATGAATGCCGCACATTATTTTAAAAAAATAATTATAAAATGCAGACACATAATACCCTGTATAATGAAATATACTGTTTTCTTTTCTGTTTGAAAAGGATGAAAACAAAGCAAGAACAAATACCAAGGCAGGTAATATCAGCTTCACTGGTTGAGCACTTGCATAGCGTCGAGCTTTCCTCACTGCAAACTTCTCAGTTGGGATAGATTTTCCTGCAATTCTCTGTTTTAGACCATCCACTTGTCTACAAGAAGGGAAAACAGAAAACAAAAATTACAAAAAGCAACTTCTATTTCATCTCATTTCATTTAGTAAGATTTACTGTTTGCTCTGAAGTCCAACATCTTAAATTGTTCCACATCACTCAGACCACAGTTATAGAACGTGTGTTTGCTGAATAGCATTTTAAATATTCTGATGCTAAAAGTAAAGAGAAAAACTGAAAAGTTTATGGTTATACGCAGGAAGTAAGTCATGCAAGACAAAGACGTGGGGGGAAAAAGACTGCACATCTAGTTGCTTTATAAACTTTTACCTGAATAAAGACACGACGTCCTCACCAGTCCTCTTCAAATCATCCTCTGGAAGCATACATAGAATTGCTGCCTTCTGGAATACATATATTGCCTATTTCAAAAAGAAATAGCAACATATTATCACATCTAACCCACTGTTTTCAGTCAGTACACTAAGGACTCGAATCTCTCACCCCAATTGCTGCAGCAAAGTGTTTCCAGTAATTCTCAGGCATGGTGAACTATAAAGTCTAGCATTCCCTTTGTCACAAGATTTACGCTATAATTTTATTTTCAATGTATTTATTAATATTTTAAGTTAGTGAGTCAGAAAGTTGAAGGTGTCTCCTGAAAAGAACAGGAGAATTTATTATGCAAACCACTGTTAAAGAGATGAGGTTAAATGATGTAACTATTCTAAAGTTCATTACTGTTACTACATGATCTATTACATGTAGAGACATGCCTGAAAAAATCCAAAAGAAAATATCTGAGTACTGACTCAAGGAAAGTTTAATAACTGGGTTTTCCAGAGAAAAAGAAAGAAACATCCATAATTCTATCCAAGACATTTGCACTTCCTGTTTAACATACTATTCTCTTCCTCTTTTCTCACGAATTGGATGTACACCCTTTTTCATTAAGCCTAATAAAACTGTAGTCTAGATAGGAACAGACAACAATAATTCATCAAGAATTATTGACACATAGTGCTTGGTTCATACTTTGAGAAACATTTTTACAAATAAAAAGCTGATACCTCAACTTCCTCAAGAGACCCTGTCTCCAGCAGCTTACTCATGTCACAAAGCATCTGCTGAGTAGGTGTGCTCTTTGTTTATAATTAACCAACAAACGCAGTTTCTTCAGCCAAGTTTTACTAGTGAGTGTTAGAACTTGACTTGAGATTCAAGTCCCATACATCATCTTTTTCACAGCTCTGGTAAGCACCTCCATTTCTGGAGAGGCCAAAACACTGCTGCTTATGGCTCTGGTGCTTCAATAAGTGAAAGAAAAATTCCTCCTTAACCACCCAGTTAAATCTACCATTTTGGTTCCATTGTGCCTTTACTTATGAGTTTTACAAGAAGGCAAAAATTACACTTATTCTGCAAACTGATAAGTAAATTTAACTGTAGAGAGACCACTGGTATATCACAACAATGTCCACCTGCCCATTTACCTTAGACCACCTGCTCTCTCTGCTGAGCAGGTCTGCATATCGATATGCTTGAAGCCAGTCCTGCTGGAAGGTGTAGCACCACATCAGTTCCCAGTAGCAGAGATGATGAATCTGTTTCCACTCTTGCTGGGCTGCTATGCAGTCTTGGAATCTTAACTGTGCCTACAATGTAGTTAAGTAAGAATGATGAAAACTGGCTCAATTACAGCTCCATGGGAAAGCCATGTCTAATCACAGGGCAAATTCTTAGTTAACACTCAAGTGGAGAACACCTGATAGTAAAATGAGATAAACCTCCCTTTCAGTCTCACTTACAGAGAGAGGGCTGGAATCAACATTGACAGCGAACACGAACTGAGTATAATTATCAGTCCAACTAAAAGAAGCTACTTAGATGAATTAGTTAATTTTCCTCCTCAGTCTGAACACTAAACAAACAAAAACCTTAAAAAGAAAAAATTTATTTACCTTTTCAAAATTTCCTTTCAGTATATCTATTCTAGCAGCATAAAACAGAATAATGGAACCCTTCAAAGGAGATGAAAAAAATAACCAGTTAGGATTTCAAGCTTAGGGAATTACATTGCTCTTATAAAATTTATTGAAAATACACACATTTGGAAATTTCTGGAGGTAGGGTTCAAGAAGACTTTCTGCTTCCTGAAGATTGGCTTCTCCTGTACCTAGAAAACACAAAAAAACCAACCTCACTCAATGCACTTAAAAAATCCAAGTTCATAGAATAAGATTTTTTTCCAAATTATATTATGACTGCAATAGATCAATGGATTACTGCTTTTATGAAAAAGCAGAATTATTTCATCATACTGTGTTTCTATAAAACTAAATTCTTGTCCCAAAGGTACTAAGTGCTTTTAAGATACTAAGTGTCTGTAAGTAGAAACAGACTAGAATTATAGGAATATTCTTTAAACTGTTCCATTATAGATTCTAGTTATATTTTTAAATCCCTGTAATTGCTTTAGCAAGCCAGGAAAACACTCCTCAGGTGCCTCTTTTCCTAATTTTGAGCTCAGTAATGAAGTACAAGTGATACGGAAAGAAATGAAGTTCTCCTTAATTTCCTGATGAGCCTGAGGGACAAGGACTAAAATACTTAAAAATGAAAGAACATGAAAATATATGGCAAAAAAGCACATAGAATTAATTATGACTTTTAGCTCTATGTGGCAAAAGCAATTACTTCTCTACATGTATGTACTTCCAAGTAAATTGTTTGGGTGTAGAGGCTTTTTTTCTGGACATAGTTTTCACAATATCTGATGTTAATTTATGCATAATGACTTCTCTTAGCTTAAAACTGTTTTGCAATATTTTGCTGTCACATGTTGAGACAGCCCTGCAAATGGAGCAAGATGTTGGTATAATGTTATCTATCTGCACTGTTTCTGCAGACATAGCTTTGTCAAGGATATTAATTTCAGATCATAATTAAATACATATCAATCTCCACAATTTTGAAATTCAGTTCTAAAATTAAATCACAATATCTATTACAAGGTGTAGCATGACTGAAAAGCTACACAGTGGGTCTCACCAAGGATTAAGGAGACGTAAGTATGATAAACCAACAGGGTGAAAGTACACAGAATGGCCCTCAAACTGCTGCCAGATGCGCCTTCCCGTAGTTGGCAGAGGCCCAACTCCTAAGAAATATCACAAACACATGCAGAATTAACTATCAGTATACAGAATTACTACTTTGTTTCTGGATAACCAAAATCCAGCTTTCCTTTCATATATAAGTATTCATAATTCAGCATTTTATCATTGCAAATCCAACACAACCCACTACCAAAACAATTCTGTCACAGCTAACAGCACTCAGGAAGGAGAAGACTAATCTAATTCTGAATAAAATTACCCATGCACTTCAGTGCTATGGTGAAATGAGAACACCACATGAATCATGCAGACACACAGGTCTACATCCCTTCCCCATTATTTTCTGGCTATGATCCTGTCAGAACAACATTAAGTCTATGTTCAGTGAGAACCTCTCCCAACTGTTCTAATGCAACTTGTTGGTGTGAGTCTTCCTTCACAGAGAACCCTGGTTATCTTCCATTTTCTTCCACCAAGTCAGCCACTATTTTGAGGTTATGATCAAAATACTAGCTCTGCTGATACATCAGTGTCTAAACAGAGATCCAGATTCATGGAGACTTAATCAGCAGTAACACATGAAACCTGTTCCACTGCTTTCCAGTTTAGGCCAATTACACGACAGCTTCACTGCTTGGGGGGTGTAGAGACAAGCTCAGAGTTCCCCTGCTCAAGAGCAAGCAACTCTTCAGAAACTTATCAGAATTTAAAAATTTTGCCTCAAAACAAATATTAACATATCAGTTCTATTGCATAGCAGCTTGATGAGTTAAAGGAGAATTCAAGTACTACACAAAAAAATGTGGTGATATTCCAAATTTGTTTGTTCTTTTCCTTTCAGCTTTTACTGCCTTTTCAGTTAGGGCAAACATGTTATGGAAGAGCTTCAGCATGAACCAGGTCTTTCAGAGGAAGAAATGAACAGGTCTCTACAGAAGTCTAATTTTACAAAAGGAGAGCCATGTTGTGGACAAGCTAACAGAATAAGACCATATGGTGGCTCTGTAGCATTAATAACTTGAAGTTTAGTTATGTATAATTCTATGGGTTGTTTTGATAGGGTTCTTTTACTTTTTTTTTTTTTAATTTCTTATGGGCACCAAAAAGAGTTTTAAAGAGCTGTACAAAACAAGGCTAGGTTTAGAAAACAAGGCTATGGTTACAAATACTTTGCTCATCCATGAGAAAAAGATGTACCTAGACTTCAGGGTGGCATATGATATTAAGAAAATTTTTTTTCCAAAGGAATGGGCTGGGATTTTGGATGGAAAAATGTAGAACTGTGATTCTTCCCTCAGTTACTGGTATGAGGAACATTAATTTCTGACTGAATCAACTAGAAAAGAAGGCTGATGTCCTCTACTTAAGGATCAGTAAAAGGAAAGAAAATTGCAATCTGAAAAATCCTCTCTGAAGCAGACTGGTCATTTCCCATGGTTGTTAAAGAGCCAGGTATCACCATATGTGCTTTTATGCCTCTTAATATCTAGTCCATTTGTCTTTTTAACAACACTAAAAGACTGATAAGCAATAGTGATCATGATACTTTTACTGTGAAATACATGACATTAAATCCATCCAGTCTTTATCTCAGAAAAGGTTAATTTGAAAAGGCAAGTATCAGATCAAATACCCTATTGCCAGAAAATCCAATAAATTCTAAAAGTCGAAGGATCCTTCCTGGTAGAAGTGACAGCATCTGAAATAAATTAGAAAAAAAAAAGATAAATAAAACCATATACATTTCAAAAAAAGTTAAAATCATTATAAACTTGAACCAAAAAGGTCAGCTACTATGTTACATGCTATTACATATGAGAAAAAAAAGTAAAACACAAAAGAATTTGAAAGGGGACACGCATGCTCAGAGTTTAGATGAACATCCAGCATGAAAAAAGCAGAACAGAGACCAGCTGTGTTTGTTCAGATAATGACAGAGTTTTCTGTCTTCAGCTGATCAGAATTGTTTGAAAATTGTGTGTCACTCAGAATGAAAGTATTATCTATTTTGGTAGTACTTACAACCTACAATTGTCATCTTCCTTTACTTCCAATAAAATGGTATCAGGGAAGTCCTACTTGCTTCTACCATGGGAGCACTGAATTAGCAGACCAGTAAGCATAACTGTTTTAGAAATACTACCTATTGTTATCATCCTTAATCCTCTATCATATGCATTTTTGTTCCCCTGTTCAGAGAATATGCATTCTCTACATCCTACACAACAGAAAAAAGATCATAACCACATTTTCAATGAGCATTCCAAGAAGGTCTACTTGGAGATACCACTTTAAAAGCTCCATTCACCCTAATACATTCTGCCAAGCAGAGACTCCTGTTAAGCTTTCTACTGAGGAGACTACGCGAACAATGGGAAAGGTCAGAACATTTATGAACAGACATCTACCAGTTGCTTGAATTTTAAAGGCTGGTGCAGATAGACCTGAGTTCTTCTGACCATACTGAAAATTGGCCAGCTCCAGTTCAGAATGATACAGAGATGAACATACCAGCAGAAATCAACTCTCACCATTGCCATGATGGATGTGAAAGGGTAATCATAATAAATTGTGAGGAAAACACAGTCTTCACAGTCTTCTTTTGCATAAACTCAGTAAACTACTGTTCATTCTTCTAAGTGTAATTATGTATGCAAATCTACAGTACCACTGAAGCAAAATAATGGTATATATGGGGGAGTTATATATAAACAGTCATTCCAGGTATCCTGTAACCAACAGCATAAGCATCTTAAAAATTACTGCTATAGACAAGTAGACTTATGTAGCAGCACTTCTACTTCAGAAATACATATATTAGTTACTTCAAGAGAATGAAACACAGTTCAGAAGAAACTAGTAGAAACATCCTAGAGAGCATGCATGCCAGAAGTCTCTGCTATTTTCCTATTGCATAAAACCTCCAAGGCTTGCATCTCCATTTTACAAATGGGCAAATGTTAAAACAGAGTTAAAGTACTGCATATGCAAAGAAAGAGACTCCTACAGAATTATCCCAACAGCCTTTCCGTAGTGTGAGAAAGTCATACCAAGTTGAATGCTCCAATTCCAAGTTTTACTCCTCCTTCAAACTGGTAATAAGTTTCATTTCTGCTTTTGTTCCCCTGAGTCATCTGTAGCACCTGATGACATTCTCTTTTGATGCAGGAAAAAAAAGGAAAGGGGAAACATGACTTAGAAATTATATGGAATATAATCAATATAATTGCTATAAAAATATTTTGTTTTATTTTGGGGGCATTAATGACACTCCAACTGCTTATATCAGCGTTGAAACTAAGTGTTTTCTAATGGCTTACTTGTATATTTGGTAACTTGTCCTAATTTTGAGTCCACCTTTGATAAAGTTGATCATATTTTCATCCTGGAAGAAAAAAATTTAATTGTACAAAATAGTGCATTCAGCAATCACACATAACACATACATAAAAATCTTCACACATTTATTTGTGACTTAATAGTCATTGGAAACATTAAAAATGCTTTTTAGTTACTAGACTCTTTTCTAAGACCAATGTTAACACTTGCTTTAAGTTGTCAGGGAAACACTTCTCTGGCGCATGTTACAACTTTTAAAACTTAAGAGGGAGGTGAAAAAGAGTCAAAGAGTTACTTTTAACAGAATTTCCAATGCATATAGAGAAAGCTTTCCACCAGATGGTGCTGTAGGAACTTTTTACAAAATTTCGAATTAGCAATTCTCTCACACACACAAGCAAGCCCACACAGAACCTGGAAAAAGACAAACCGAAGAATCCCCTGAACAGATGAAGTCCCATTGCTGATCAACATAAACCACATGTACTATCCAGTATATATGTTTACTAATCTCTAGAAGAAGCAAAACAAAGCCACAATGTAATAGCCATCAAAACTCAACACCTGAAAAGCAAGACAGCTAACAGTTCAACAAGATGTAATTTTTTCTCTTAGAATTCACACAGAAAGGGAACATGTGCAGGCATTTCAGAAATGCATATTTAAATACTCAGGGACAGCATATATGATATGGAAAATGAAAAAGCACTAAAAAAGAAAAAAGGCTTAGAACCATCAACCAAAGGAAATTCTGGCTTCCATAAAAGGGTCACCATTTCAAAAGACCTCATCTGTTTTGTCTGCAAGTCTAAACACTCAAATGCAAGTATTTTAGTACAAGCATTTTAGTTCTGCCTTTCTGAGTGGTTACAGTTTTGTTCTCATCATTGTTCTCAGTGGAATCAAGGTCAGCCAAGGATGAAACATATGGGGCAGGACTACAATCAGCAGAGTGCGGTACTATAGTTAGCAGCAATAGAGAGCTGCTGCTTTAGAGAAAATACATATCTAAGGGTTTTTAGAATTTATTTTATACATTCCTAAAGTCATCTACTTCAACAACTGTTTGAAAATTCCTTTCGTGCTTAAAAAACCCTCACCCACACAATAAAAATAAAAAGGGTTGCTTCCATCTGGTTGGTAAAGGAGAAAGCCAGGAAGCCAGGAGAAAGCCAGTTATAGGCATTCCATTAATACTATTTCCTGACACTTCTGGCCAAAGTACTGTATTAAGCGGTTTATAAATATCTGCCTAATGAACTTATCTGATCTTAGTGCCTTGCTCCTTTCGCATAATTTATATCGGATTATCTAAAATATATTCAATAAATTTGTAAAACACTCACATATGTAAAAAACCTCTGATTAATAACTCCTGTTTTCAGCCATCAAATTTCAAATCAAATTTGAAAACACTGTAGCATGAAGTCCCTTAAACACAATCTAAACCAGTAACACTAGATTGTATTAAAGACCAGATCTTTCTGTGGACTGAACTGTTAGCTCAGCAATGCTAAAGTATGCTCATTTTATAATCATTCCTTACCATATTATTCCTGACACCATGTCAAAAGTGCATAGAGAGCAAGACTGAATTGGAAATGACAAGTGTGCATCAGCTAAAGTTTTGTTAGTTGGGAAACATTCTATCCTTTTGTGCAAAGAAAAGACTTGCACTTTCAAACAAGACTCTTCCTCATACTTGAACATATTTTTACAGAAGCACTGGACACTGTACAGTGTGATGCAAGTCATTTAAACATAACACCTGTATAAACACTACAATATACCTCGGTGATACCTTGGTACCTGGATATTAATAACACCTTTGGTTATTTGTATAAACAAAGAGAGGGCTTTGCTGAGTAGCACAGCATTTACCATACTTTCAATCACTGCCATGAAATAACATTGACTAGCAAAAGGTTTGGTTTTTAAATACCATATCTAGTGTTGGAATGACATTATACAAATACTAATCTCTCTCCAGTACACTGCTACACAGAGACACAAAATCAAAAATTGACTTTACCTGTACAAAGGTGAGAGCTGCTTTCTGTAATAAGCATTCAGCATAGCAGATTTCGGCATGCATTTCCTCTATATAAGAAAGAAAAGTTATTTAGTATCAGCAAAATTACTGTCAGCATTTTCTTCTTGGGGTCAATGGAACAAATAAAATGCTGCCAAGACAAGGAAAAAAAAAAAGGCAAGATTCTGCTGTTGCCATTTCGATAACTGCTGAAGAGTAGCTGTAATACACAAACCCCAACAAAAGTCTTCTATTTCCCTTCTTCTCAGACAAAAACTTTGAACTTGACAGAGCTGACTTTGGTCTATGGGAAAAGCTACTTGTCATTCCGGTAGATTGTCTCCTGTACTTTTCATTGATCCTAAGCTTAACAGCCTACAGCAACTAAGTCTTCCAACCCTCCTTCCACGTCTTAGAAGAAACTTTTTCAGGATAATGGTAACCCTCACTGAGGTTCAGACTTTTCATACATCTAGTAAGACATTATGAACAGGTTTTCACCAAGTCATGCTCAACAAACTGAAAGCCCCAGGCAGACTTTCTGTCTTCATGCAGCACTAAAGTACACTTGATTTAACACACATGACACGAGTTACTCTGCACCCATGCTGCAAGACCAGCCACATGCACAAGGCTGCTGTATGTACAGTGCATACGTGGTGAGTTTGATGTGTCCAAGTATTAAAGAGGATTCTTGTGCCAGGTTAGAAAAAAATGCATACTTGATTCTGCCTGAATCAGAAATAGGAGATCAGCATTTTCAGAGCCATGAACAATGTACTGATACCATTTCCCAAAACACCTTAAGGCAAAACAGACAAGCACAAAACTTGTTAATATATTCAGATTCCAATGCAACTAATGATAAGGACGTATTCCACTGCATCAATGATTCTTAAACTTTTGGGAGCTGTCCTATAATGTGTTGTGAAAGGCATTCCTTCCTTGATTCATGCATGCTCAGAGCAAAAAAAAAAATTAGGCTGAATTCCCCACTTTGAGAAGCTTTATGTTCAAATTTAAGATGACCACATAGGTGGTTTGTACGTTTATTTGTTACTGTAAGACACTGGTCAAGTTACAGAGTCACGCATTGGTAAGGTAGTTTTGAGCTTTTCCCTTTTTAATTTTAACTGTGTTATAAACCACTTACCTTCACTCAACTGATCCACTGACTGTTTCAAAACTAGATTGGACAAAGATTCCACCACTGTGCTTCTTTTCCTGAATCTAAATCATTTGTGCATGGAAGAAAAGAAACCCACATATTTCAACACAAAACTGACCTTAATTATTGGAATTCTTAACCATTTCCAACTAAAATTAATAGAAATTACCAACAGTTTCAATTCTTTGAGAAGTCTAAACACTTTTATGCTTCTAGGCTCATAAGCCCATCCAACCTTAAATGCATGCTCACAGCATCAATTAACCTACTTTAAGTGTATAATAGCTTCAACCTCACTTCCACCCACCAGCTGCAGAAGTGTCTCTGATCCTGAGCAAGACACCTGAACAGGACTTCTAAGTTTCACAAATTGCTTTTTTCTGTTTCTTAAACTTGCACACAGAATTGGAATAAAAAACATCAAATGGTGCTCTTTTTTCAACATAAATGCTACAGTATTTAATGGTGGTTTATGCCAGATAAAATACCAAAACAATCACATATTTTACTTCCAAAGGACCTCAACTGTACATTATAATTCCAAAAATTAGTTTGTTAACTATTTACAGACAACTCAGCTTTATGAAGAAGCTAAAGAAACAATTCTACATTCAGAAAAGGAGTGCATTTTGTAAGCCAGGGAGTCACTGATTATAAACACTAAGCATTAGCTTATCATTTGTTTACACTATTCTGCACATTGACAAGCGCAAGATCCTGACAACAAGATTATGACACTACAGGTTAACATAATAAATACAAGAAAAGAGTCAGGGAACATGTAGTTCTGGCAATTCTTCACATGTGAATGTTTGATTGCCTTTGTCTTGCATTTTTATGAGTTTTGCGACAGACTAGACCAGAGTACTTATGCATTAGCGTTCATATCCTGCAGAGATGAAATCCCGTAGGAAGCTGTCTAAACTACAGGAGCATCTAATCTTCAGACATACTAAACAACCAATTCAGATGAAACTGCAAATTGATAGCACATCTGAAAAAGATGCAGAAACTTTTATTTTCTTCAGATAGTATCTGATAATTTCATCCCATTTCCTTTTCTTTTTTTGTCATTGCTAAGATGATGATGTTAAACATCTAAACTGACATGTGGCAGTCATATCCTTGGAGACCACTTTTGATAAATTATGGCCTAACCAATATGATGAAGAACCAGTACAGTAGAATTAATTTCTATTTTTGTCAGAGCCTTGTTAAACACTTCAGCTTTTACAAGCCATGTAATGTCTGCTTACGGGTAGGTCTACAAAGTCAACCAACCATTTAACTTTAGCAGCTATTAATATCCAGCCACAACAAGTCTGTTGTTTCCACGATACTCTGTGGAAAAATATTCTCACCAGTAATAATTGTGTAGTAGGACTTACTCCACATTTACAAATTTAGGCCACTATCATACTGATAGGAATCAGTTTTAAAAGCATAGAGAGAGCTGGGGTACCTTACAAAGAACACTTAGTGGATTAAGTATCTCATAAATGTTCAGTGCTTGGGCATACCTTTGGCAGGTTTGCAAAGCCTCCTTCATTGTAGAAATTCCCATTTGTATATCCTGCTGTTCAAAGGTCATAGCAGCTTGCATAACTAAAATAGTGCTGTATCCAAGTGCATGGTACATGCTATCTTTGGACCTAGGGAAAACATAAATCTTGTGCATTTAAGCAACACTTTACATTACAATACAAAACTAAATGCAGAGACACTTGCGTTAATTTTGAAAAGACAGAAGAATGAAGCAGGGAAGTAATAGACATGAGAACATAAACTAGTAAGAAAGCAAGTATCATTTTCCATTGGGTGCTACAAGTCTGCCGTCACAAGAAGTTCCACTTGAGTTACACAAACATTTGCACCTAATTAAATACCATTTATAGTCTGCTGGTATATCTTTTTAATTTAGTTAACTAAGCCTTGACATAAATACTCATTTGTATGCTTTCACTCGACGTAAGTAAGAACCTCCTTCTAACATTACTATGTGATCCAAAGACAAAAATCTGTATTTGTGTCATAGAAATGTCAGTACACAAATGCTCAGTTCTACATAAAAGACTACACTGAACTAGTCTGGCTTTCACAACATAAATTATACCATTACAAAAAAATTGTTGGAAAGTGCCTACAGACTCAAACATACTAAGTGCAACAAACAGCACTATTGCTAACATCATGTCAGGCTAACCTAACCAAGTTTCAAGAACCTCAAGTAAATGAAGACTGCATACTCCTTTGGCAGCCTCTCCGGTACTGTACTAGCCAGTGACCAGTTTGAACCTCCTCAGTCTCAACTTGTGGTGACTGACTCTTGTTTTACCACCTGATACTATGGAGAATGGTGCCTCTGTCTTTGTAACTTCCCTTCAACAGATTCAGACCACTACTGGATTAATGCCCAAGTCTCCTTTCTGTCAAACTAAAACAAACCCTTCTGAATAAATCGTTCGTTCTAGCCTTCTAGATAGGCTTCTAGTTCTTTGTTGGATGATCTCTAGTTTCCCTAACATTTTTTCTTCCTTTTAAATCAAGGAGCCAACTACCAAATGTAGTTTTGAAGACAGAAATCCTAAGCAGAGTCAAGAAAGATGACCTTTGGGCTAAGTCTTTATTTCTCAAATCTATCAAAACTTATCCTAAAATTTTTACATTATTTAAGGACTTAAGTTTAACTTTCAATAAAAGGCTATTTTTCAATAAAACAATCAGGCTATTTTTTTTAATAGGCAACTTTTTTGTTTTTTGCAATAGGTCAGCATTTGCAATGTGCTATATAATAAGCTCAAAGTTTATTAGCAAACATCAACTACAAACAAACAATTTGCTGTACATAAAAACACCATGACAAAATAAGGGGTTTTTTTTGTTTTACAATGCAAAATGAAATATATATCATATGCACAAAAAACATTTTGGCAATATGTGTATGCGTGTATTTAGCAATACACTCATGCACAATCCTTGCAGGTAGAACTTATTATTTTGCAATATTACCTAAAAATAGTTTTAGCATACACTCAAGTGCAGGTGGGCCTTCTCAAAGCATTTCTCTATTTCAAATAACACTATACAATGCTCAGAGAAGAGAGCTGGAGAGTAAATATAGCTAATTTTAAAAGCCCTCCATACTACTAAAGTATGAGAGCTCTCCATACTACTAAAAGCAAACGCTTGATAGTTGTGTCATCCTTCTGAAGTTTCATTTAATGGTGTTCTTGAACTCATCCATATAACACCAACCCATCACTCTTAATCCATTCTTTCTAGCACTAAACTGCAGATCAAGAACCTTACCTCGCTCTACTAACATAGGCTACAGATCCCTCTTGCCAAAACATCCCTCAACATCATACGCATCTTTGAGACACAGGTAAGAGAAGAATAGTGAATGGGATTCAGATCCCAGTCCTGAAGATCAGCCACCCAGACTGCCTCCCCACAAAGTCACAGATAAGCTAGATTTGCTCTATGAACCTCTTCGTATTCTTTAATTCCTTACATCTGCACTGCCATGCTTTTCTTCTCAGTGGAGGAAAGGCAACAGGGAAACAAGCAGAATTAGTCAGAAGATCAAAAGATGCGCTTTAAATGTGTGACTCAAACGTAATATAAAAAACAACAAAAAGAGTATTCTGGAGTTTTGTTCCAGATTTTCCCTCTTGTCAAAAGCAGTTCCACTGTACAAATTCTCTAATCAAAGATACATCGGATAAGGTCTTGCTTCCCTGCTTTCCCCCTTCACATGAGGAAAGACAGTTCGAATGATTAACAGAACAATTCAGTGGTTCATCAACAGGTTTTGAGATGGCCTTAGAGAGACAAGCACACTGCTAAAACCCCAATATATGGATAAATGCTTTTGGACAAAAGGGAATAAATGAAAACCACTATCTTCAGAGGCCTTAAATAATCTTCAGGTACTAGGTAGCATACTTTACGCTATTTGTTTACAGTAAATTCAGCAAAAAACAGGACCTCACCACGGACGAAGTAGTTCCAGAGCTTCGGAGAACTTATTGTTTAGAAATAAGTTCAGTGCCATTGAACATTCTTCCAGAGCACACTTGAGATCCATCTTGGAAGCCCTAAAAAAGATTCTTAGTTTACTCAAACTGTACATATAAACACAAAATGAAAACATAGCTTTTCCTTATATAACATTTAAGGTCTTTTATAGCAATTTTATTGTTTTCAGAATCTACCTTTTCAAAAACAGTTTATATGCTTAACACTTTATCCATGTTACACAAGTGTGCCCCCTTTACTTATTTAAGTGATGATTATGGCTTAGCTCTTCTTTTCTTACTAGACCAATTCTCAAAACTTATCACTGTGCCCAAGCTCTCAATTCTCCCCATCAATACACTGTTTAGACTCTGTATTCATATATGAATCGCAAAGAGGTGACAAAATATTTTCATCCAAAAAAGTATTAAACAGATGCTCCCTCTGCAAACAGCTATGCTAAAAATAGTCCTGTCAGAAGTCTGTAGCTATGCCAAAAGCCTTTGTTCTTCCTAATTCACTACAAATAAAATCACTTGCACTTGCTTAAGTGGAAGTCATCTTAACAAAACTGCTTCTTTGGCCAGTTTTGCGTGAAAGACTCAGAAGCGTTCACAAATTGCTCCATGGGCAGACCTAGGGACAAACTGGACAATCATGGTACTGACTAACAGCTAGAAGCTACACAGCCATCAATATGCACAGCTGGAGCTGGAAAAGATAATCTCTCTACAGCTTTAAAACAGGTTTAAACTTGATAATGGGCTTTATCCAAGTAAGGTTAAGCAGTGGTAAGCAACAGATCTTGTCAATGAGATAAATATTTAAGAATTAACCAGAAGAGAAAAACTCAGAAGGAGGAATTTAAGAAGAGTGTGATAGTTTTCACCCTAGGCCTTCCTGGAGACCAGCTTGTAACCAGGAAGGAACTAGGAAGGTGACCCAGGAAGTATTCCATGCTATTCCTTTACGTAACCTGGGGTATAAATAAGGTACAGATAAGAGAGCTTGCTCTCTTCCTTTCCAGCAAGGTTCGAGAACGGTGGGTCCCTGTCTCGGTCTTGCTTATCTGGAGCTGAGGCCTGCAGTGACTACTGTTGTCTGCCACGTGCGAGGGGGAGAGTGCTGGGGCACATCCAGCCGTCCCGCTTCTCTCAAGGGAAGTGGTGAGATTTTGCCAGTTCTTTATTTTGCTGGCTACCAGATTTTTAGATTGCGCATACCTGTTTTGCTTCTGTCCCTTTTCATCCTTTTTTTGTCCTTTTTTCCCTTTTCCCTTCCCCTCTTCCTTTTTAGGAAGCTATTTGGGGTTTCTGGGGTTTAAGGTATATAGTATTCTCACTGTATATATCTGTTTTATATGTAAAATATATATTATTGCTATAGCTTTGGCTGTTTGGTTTTCCTTTTTTTTTTTTCTTCCCTCTTTGGGAAACAGGCTCTGTTGTTGAGTTTTGGAGACTTGGCGGGAAGCCAGCTCGAAAGTTGCACAAAGAGACACAACAGAGGAGTGCAGCTGCTCTTAATCTAACTGTAACACACACACACACACAAAACAAACAAAGAAAAATGTGCACAGGACAATATGACTGGACAGGCGGGTTTTTTTACTCTCCAAAGAACAGTGTTAAGAAATTTAATAAAAATATTTATAACAACTAAAAGTTTTAGAAAACACTCAGTTTTATTAGCTAATTCTATGAATATCATCTGCTAACAAATAATTTTCAAATAACTAATTTTAGCTAGATTTAAAGTTTGGGGTTTTTTTCTAGTACACAAGTAAGAACCTGACTTTTTCTGTCAATAACACATCATCACTACCACTGTGTATTCCCATGCTTCTGTAATCTTTTTTCAGATTTGTGTTTTAGGAAACTGTTTTACTTAGTCTGTGCCTCGTTAAATTACACGTTCCATTTGCTCTGCCTTTTCCGACAGGAAGAATGTGTTAGCTGCCTTCCGTTTCTCAAGAAGAGGAGGAAAAAAAGGGCGGGGGGGGAAGGTGATATCTACTAGATAGCAAGAATGAATTTTTACTCTTTCATACTTGCACACTACAACCATTTTGTTACTAGCATCAAGGCAGTACCCTGTTTCAAGTGTCTTCCCATACAAATGCCAGAGGCCATATTAAAGTAAATTACAGAGGACAGATGGACCTTCTGGTCCTCCTCCCCTTACACCATGTTTATTAGTTTTGTTGTGGGCTAAGAATTCTTGTCAGCTATGGGAACAGAAAAACTCAATGAAAGGCTGTGGGTGAAGGGCAGGATTACGAGACCTGGAAAGAACAGCTTTAGAAACAGGCCCATTACAGCGGCAGCTTCCCAGGACCGAGCGAAGCAGAAAAACAACTATTTGCGCTTTTATTGTACAGGTTTTCTCTGAGTTATGTACTCCCCCCGGTACATACGCCCCCCCCCCCCCCGGAACCATGCGGTCTCCCCCTCCCCCCGATTGTGGATCATGTTGCGCCTGCCTCTCCCCAAATCCCTGTCTCGGTTACTGGAACGTGGTCCTCCTGTATCTCCCATTGGTCAGTGGGCTCTCAAGCCACTCCTCTCCCCCCGTACCTCGACCCAATCACAGCCCTCCTTCTTGCCCTCCCCCCGAACCCATATGAACCGCGCAAGTTTAAGATTAAAGGTCCTTTCTGCCACGGAACACCCGGGGAAGCTTGGTCTCTCTTTCCTCCTGCCAAAGGGGGACAGCGCGGCCGAGCTCCACTCTGGGAAAACCAGCAGAGAGTCTGCAACCAGATCCGTTAAAAGGCAATGATCTGCTATACAGAGTATGGAGAATTAAGAATAGTCATCTGAAGTAAGAGAGGGAAGCGAATGGCAAGTAAGACATTTATAACCACACAGTTCATAAAACACTCTGGGGGAAGGTAGATCATTCACGACCACAGTTAAATTAACAGTTGATGACTGCTTTATACATTTAGTTAAAAGGTATTTGTGTTAGGCCTAGAAAGAGTAAGAAAGTTTCCTACTACTTCATGTGAGAAGTAACAGCAGATAAATATATTAAAGTATTTACAGAACCCCACCACTGTAGCAGTTTCTGAATGCAAGGATCAAGGTGTAAGGGCAACGTCTTGTTTCCAACTGCTTGGCTGGGTCTCACTGTAGGACCAGAAACACATTTCCTGTACTTGTATGCTGTAAATCTGCACACTTCCTATCCTGCAATCACAAACTGCTGGAACTTCCTCTGGAAGGAAAATCTAATCTTTATTTTGTATAACACAGCCATGGAGATGCTGGCTTTTTAGGTCTAAGTGAGGAGTGTTTGCCATCGGGCTCCCAAATGCCATCATACTCCCAGCTCTACCATCAACACCATCACATATTAATATTTGTAAAATGATTCCATAAACAAGGCTCTTTAAACAACCTGGCACCATGTCAAAACTACGTTTTCCTACTTAAATGGGTAAGCAGCCGATCTCTTCAGCACTTGGCTGTCATGGTTTTTTTCCTGTATTACAGACTAGTTCCCCTGACACTGACTTTATGTGTGACCAAAGCCTGCAGACAATGAAAACAGCATTCCTTATGTTAATGTATGTCCTGTTCTATACATTAAGCAAGCTTATGAAGTTATTCTGCCACTTCAGATATAAAACTTGGGAAGTTAGCTTTCTCAAACTGTTACTTCTGGTAAGTGAATCATATTCTCTATCAGAGTGTCGCATTCTGTTTCATTACTCTTCACATATATTTTCTACTGTTTTCCTACATCCTGCAGCAGAGGAAGATAACCAAAAGGATTCACTCCAACTCAGATTCATAATTTGATACCACAACAGTCAGAAGAAAGGAGCACATTGACTCAGAAGGAACTTGGATATCTTCGCTGGCATTTCTACACAGAGGCTCAGAAAAAGCATATTTTCTCCTCTACTCCCAAAACATCACAAACCAATTTCTACAGCAAGTTACCAGACTGATGAACAGTTAGCAAGTAATGCTGACTCACACTCTCTTTCTGACTCATGTTGTTTTCATTCTAACTCAGTATTATATAGGCAATCTTATTTTTCCCCTACGTCCACATACAGTTTTCCTAGAACTGACAGAAGCTTTACACATTTTATCACGTCAGATAAGCATATTCTTTAATTTACCCCACAGCAGATTAAATTAACACTACTTCAGTGATATTACTACAGATTTTACAGCTACTAGCATGGTTTAATCCCAGTCATCAACCAAGTCCCACACAGCCGCTCACTCACTTGCCCACCAGCAGGATCAGGGAGAGAACTGGAAGAGTAAAAGCTGGAAGACTCTTGGGTTGAAATAAAGACAGGGAAAGCAAAAGCCATACACACAAGGAAAGCAAAACAAGGAATTAATTCACTGCTTCCCATGGGCATGCAGGTGTTCAGCCATCCCCAGGAGAGCAGGGCCCCATCACATGTACTGATCACTTGGGAAAACAAACACCATCACTCCAAATGTGCTCCCTCTTCCTTCTTCTTCTCCACATTTTATATACTGAGCATGATGTCATATAGTACAGAATATCCCTCTGGTCAATTTGGGTCACCTGTCCCAGCTGTGTCTCCTCCCAACTTCCCATACCCTTCCAGCCCCCTGGCCAGTGTGGCAGTACAAAAAGAAAAGGCCTTGGCTCTGTGTAAACTCTGCTCAGCAATAACAAAACCACCTCTATATTATCAACCCTGTGTTCAGCACAAACCCAAAGCACAGCCCCACACTAGCTACTGTGAAGAAAATTAACTCTACCCCAGCCAAAAGTAGCAAAATACTGCTAACTTCTAGAAAAAAAAAAAAAAGGAATGGAAAATGTGCTATATTGGGGATTACGCAAAGAGAATAACGTCACATTACAAGGAGACACTGTGTTACTATCAAGGTACTAAGGATACTTTTTCCCAACGCACAGTGTTTTTTATCTTCCTACTTCTATTTCAAATATGTTTCATGAAAAAAAGAGTTAATGTTCAGAATTTTAGCAATAGTTTGTGTATCTTGAGCTTGGTGCTCATGAAACTGTTCCAGTACGGTGGAGATATACTGTCCATATGCAAGTTCCTCACAACTTC